ATACCTACAAAATTTTCACAGGACTAGTTTCGATGGTTTTACCGAACCATCATCTTCAGCTGCAAAACCGCAAATGAACAAGATAGGAAATAATGATTAGATAAGATAAGAAAGCCTGGACAAGAATAAGCAAGTGGCGCCATCTGTTGGCGAAACCAGAACTAAAACATAATTTCTCTAAAAGCCGAAGGCAAATTTGGATTGGAATTAGGATCGTTAACTAGAACAGAAAGATTTTTATGAATGTGAAATGCCTCTAGAAAATCCAATTCTCCAATGGAAGATGTTTTTTGAATAATTTTGGCAGCAGAAAAATTGAAAGTGTGATTTTCGGACCAACAATGTTGAGCAACAGAAGACTTCTGTGTTTCCTTTCTTCTAACATATGCCTCATGTTCTTTGACGCGAAATTTTAAGGCTCTCCTAGTTTGGCCAATGTAAATTAAACCACACTGGCAAGGAATCCTATAAATACCCCAGGAATTCATATCCGGAATGGGGTCCTTGAGTATAGAAGTTGGAATTTTATTGATGGGAGAATAAACAACCCGAAAGTTAAACTTCTGCAAAATATGTGCAACTTTATAGCTAATTGATGGAAAGAAAGGGAATGACAACAGAATTTTTATAATCTCCTAAAATAAGAGTGTGGCTTTTAGTGTGTTGAGATGAGAATTTTTTAACTGCTTGTTAATAATGTTGGGTGAAAACCCCAAATTATTAATCAATTTCGGGTAGTACATTTGCAATTTTCAAGTGTTTATGTTTCTTGGATATTGTGCTTTGATTGTCTGATTTCATGCATTTTGCTTACAAACGTTTTGTTTTCTATTCATTTCAGTGAGGGATTTTTCTGCTGTTTTGTGTGTACTTTATTATTGCTCAGTTAATTTGGTTTGATTTTGTGCATTGTTTATCATGCCTTCTTCAGTTAATCGTTTCACTAAATTACGCCTGAAACGGCAAAAATTCCTGAACCATCTTGACTTTTTACTTAAATGTAAATGTAAAAAATTGATCCCTAATTTTATTCAAATCAAATCTAATCAAAAACCTTCGAGTCGCGTTTCAAGAATTCTGTTAAATTGCAAGCTTGCCTTACTTCGGTCCGTGATAAGGGATACACGTCAACAATTGTCCAAAATTGAACATGAACTCTATAAGCTTCATCTGGAACTCGCTAAATCATATCCAAAATTCACTGCCCTTGAACAAAAGTCTTGGTCTAGAACGGAGAATGCAATTAACCTTCATAAAAACACCCTTGCAGTTAAATTCGAAAAACTTCTTTTACGGTCTTCCAGTTCAAGTAGTTCAAAAAATCTTCCCATTGTAAACATCAAGCCAATAGTTAATATTTCTAATGTTAGTCTTTCAGAAGAACAAGAGAGAATTCTAAAATATAATTTTAACTTCTCACAAACCTGTAAACCCTCGATTCCAAAGATTTTGGCTCCTATCGAAAAAGCTTTTAAGTTCAGTAAAGTTTCAGATTCACAGAAAGAAATTATTAGGCATCTTATCGCTCATAATGTGAAATTCAATAATAAACCTTTGAAACCAAATCTAACTGCGAAAGAAAGAGCTGCAATGCGCGAAAAATTCATTCTAACCGGATATTATCATTTCAAAGGCTGACAAAGGTGGCCAGATAGTCGTCATGGATAAGAACACTTACATCGATGGTGTCACTAAACTCTTAAACGAAGGACCATATAATCCGATCCCTAAAGATCCTTCACCTTCGACTTATCCAAAATAAAAACTGCGATCAAATCTTCGCAAATCATTTCAAGCAACTTAAAACATTCGCTTATCCCATCTGTTGCGAATTGTGCCAGATTATATGCTCTTCCCAAAATTCATAAAAAAGTGGTATTCCTTTCCGCCCTATTGTATCAAATTTAGGTACTGCCTCGTATCCATTAGCTAAATATTTAGTTTTTAGATTTTCCACTCTATTAGACAATAAATTTACATTTACACCATAAAAAAAATTCAATAGAGTTTGTAAAAAAGGTTAAAAACATTTCTCCTAGTAATTTACTCATGGTTTCTTTTGATGTAAAATCATTATTCACCAATGTCCCAGTGGAGGGTGCATTAAGATGTCTAGAAACCAGACTTCGCGAATTTCATTTCTCTTGCATCGAAATTGATGAGCTAATTTCTCTCACTCAACTCTGTTTGAAACAAACACATTTTGTTTTCCAAAATAAATATTACAAGCAAACTGAGGGATTAGCCATGGAAGCCCCCTCAGTCCCATCCTGGCTGATATCTACATGCATTATTATGAATCAAAATTGTTTGAAACTTTAAACTTCCCGGCATGGTTTCCGCTACGTAGACGATACTTTTACCCTGTTTGAAGGTAATAAAGATGATTTAAATAAAGTTCTTTCAACAATGAATTCTATTGATCCTGCTATTCAGTTCACTTTTGAACTTGAGACTTGCAATTCTCTTCCGTTTCTCGACATTCTGGTCACACGTAACACATCCAACTTCAGTACTACAGTTTACCGTAAACCTTCATCGGTTTGCCTTCCACCACACTTTAAATCATGTCATCCGACTAAACAAAAGTTAGCTTCATTTTATTCCTATGTTTTCCGTGCTCTTCAAGTTTGCTCCTCCAAACTAGCCCTTGATGAAGAACTAAATTATTTAAAAGCAATAGCTATTGACAGGGGCTTTTCACCCAACATTATTAATCAAGCAGTTAAAAAATTCTCATCTCAACACACTAAAAGCACACTCTTATTTTAGGAGATTATAAAAATTCTGTTGTCATTCCCTTCTTTCCATCAATTAGCTATAAAGTTGCACATATTTTGCAGAAATTTAACTTTCGGGTTGTTTATTCTCCCATCAATAAAATTCCAACTTCTATACTCAAGGACCCCATTCCGGATATGAATTCCTGGGGTATTTATAGGATTCCTTGCCAGTGTGGTTTAATTTACATTGGCCAAACTAAGAGAGCCTTAAAATTTCGCGTCAAAGAACATGAGGCATATGTTAGAAAAAAGGAAACACAGAAGTCTTCTGTTGCTCAACATTGTTGGTCCGAAAATCACACTTTCAATTTTTCTGCTGCCAAAATTATTCAAAAAACATCTTCCATTGGAAGAACTGGATTTTCTAGAGGCATTTCACATTCATAAAAATCTTTCTGTTCTAGTTAACGATCCTAATTCCAATCCAAATTTGCCTTCGGCTTTTAGAGAAATTATGTTTTAGTTCTGGTTTCGCCAACAGATGGCGCCACTTGCTTATTCTTGTCCAGGCTTTCTTATCTTATCTAATCATTATTTCCTATCTTGTTCATTTGCGGTTTTGCAGCTGAAGATGATGGTTCGGTAAAACCATCGAAACTAGTCCTGTGAAAATTTTGTAGGTATAACGCTGATTTTTGTTGTTTGACTTCTGAATTAGTATGACTTAATGTTTTGCAATAATTGTATCTTCATTGATTGAAACGCCTGAATTTTGTATTAAAATTCGTTTTCAAAGCAGTTGTTTCTTCTGTTCGCGTGCCTTTTTTCTTCTTAGGCATTTGTCGATGAGTTTCATTTTTACGTTTTTCAACATTAGTTCTTCTGGGCATGCTTCTAAAGCTGTGATAAGATTTTCGTAGTTTTTTGGTAAGCCGCATAATAGCAGTGCTGCAATGTGACTGTCTTTTATTTCTTCACCTATTCTTCACAATTCGTCTACGATTTCGAGCGTTTTATTGATATGCTCTTCGAGCTTGTATTCGTTTTCTGCTTTTACTATATATAGCTTTCTGAGAAGGTAAAGTTTACTGAAAATTTTTTTTTTCTTTCATGAATTCCTTTAACATTCCATACGTCTTTAACTGTTGTTTTATTTCTTATGTGTAGGATTTGGTTGTCTTCTACGAGTAAACATATGGTAGCTTGTGCTTGTCCACCTCATTTTATCCACTCAGAGTTATTTATTCTCGTGTATCTTTTGCGATTAAATCTCATAAATTTTCTTTCTTTCAGAATCATTTCAAATTTGTATTTCCATATTGATAGTTGTTATTGTTTAGTTTCATAATCGAATATTTATTTTCGCAGCTAGTAGTCATTTCTGCTTCTGTTTTTCGAATGCGCAGAATACAGTTATGTTAGTTTTGTTTCGCTTTTTGAAGACAGGCACAGCTTTTCTTTTTCGGATGGTACAAATGTTATCTGCTCTCCATTGTAGAACGCGTAGCGTAGGAATGAGTCATACAAAAACAGAAGTTTCCCTTTTTTTGGATTGAATCCAATTCCGATTACCGAGAGAGGGGAGAGAAACGTCGTAGGTACAGCTTAATCGCTTTCGTTTTCGATGACCGCCTGCTCCACAAAATTTACATTTAACCTACATTTAAGTAGCGTTATTATTGTTTTAGTTTTAAACAATATTAAGCCTTTGCGCAGATGTTAAGTTATATAGGTTTATGTAGCTTCCAGCATAGATATATACTTAGTTTTTCATTACATATGTTGTGCTGTTCTTTTCATTTATGCTATGCTTTTCATGTTTATATAAACCAATGAAGGCGAAGTTTCTTAATATATAATATGCATATCTATACATCAAAATAGCGGTAAGACAATATAGTATATTTTAGGCGTAAAATTAAATATACTTCATAATGAAACAAATCTATGTAATTATAATTCTTAATTTAATATAAAATAATACGCAACAAACTTTTTTCCAATTAGGTACTGATTTATGCAGTGAAAACAATTTTTGATTTGTAATAAAAGTGCTTTGATATCTGAAGTTTAATAAAACTGAAAGTCTGATAATGAAAAGCACTTCTTTTTTAATTTTGCGTCATTATTATCTGCCTTAGATGATATAGTCACCTAACATTTAAGATGCAATTTAAAAGCTTTCAATTAAAAATGCTTTCTTCTGAACTACTTCTTTTTTAAAACAAATTAAATAATTAAGTACACAAAATTATTTTAATTATTACTTTTTTTTAGTGTTTTTAGAAGATTTTTGCAATCAAGAAGAAGTATCTGTCCTAAATTTAGGATCAGGTAATGCCAATTCCTCAGGTATAATAGCTGCCTCGAGAAACAGAACGTTTTTAGAAGGACAAAACTGTACAGTATTAATTCAACCACCTTTAGGATTTGGCGTTATTTTAAGCGTGAGACATCTCGATTTCAGACCCTTTTATTCACCAAGATGCTTGAATTTTGTCAAGGTAAGTGACTCTTTTTTCTCCAATACGAAATATCAGCAATATTTGAATTTCACCAAGCTAAAGTAGAAATCATTTGCAATTTCTGATGAAGTTTCAAGACACTTTTAATGAAATTACTAAAACATTTTCGAGCAAATTATTAGCAATAGCTGAGAATTATCCTTTTGCGCTATCAACTTATCCTCCCATTGCGTTTATGTCGCGTTCTAAATTTAAGTAGATAATGTGAAAAAGATTTCTGCAAAATATTTTCAGCTTTACAAACATTGAAAAGAACGAAACATTTTATTATCCTCGATGTCATTACATAACAATTATCCATAACCTGCTCCGCCACTGACACTACAGGTGTGATATTACAGGGGAAAATCATTGGCACTAACTGTGATATTACATTGGCATTATTTTTGTCAACAGAATTTCAGTTCACGTTTACAATTAAATGTTAAGGTCAATATTTATAACTATTATAAATTTAGTTATACTTAATAACAAGATTAACAGTAACATTCACAGTAGTTTATGAATAATAAATCCTTCGTTTCCAAACACATTTATAATTAATTTAATAAATACTTATGTATTTAATTAAATGCAAATGTCCGTTTTACAAGGACATGCATAAATACTCATATATATTTAACGTTTTCCATTTTCGGAAATGTGCAAAACTTTTATTTTCTATGCATTCACTATATTCTTCGAGTAAATAACTTATAATAATTTAGCATATATCAGAAATTTTGCGTAAGAAATAGGTATAAATATAATCTAAATGAAAATTACATGCATTATTTTTAATATGCACTCATAAAGTCAGCTTTCGTTTGAAAGTCTCTCCTCTTAGACAGATAGCTCTTGCATGCTTCACCCTATTTAAGAAACTTAACCTTGATTTATGTACCTAATTACATATATTTTTACATACATAATTTTTATATTTACTTTTAGACATCAAGTTTTAAACGTTTCACTTAAAACACGTTTTTAGATACATTCATTATGAAATTTTAATTTTCGGTAAATATATTTTGGCCTCTGTTATTTAATACCACTCTTAGCAGTTTTACCCAGTTTAATAGTTCTCAGATAATAAAATAAATAACAAATACCCATTTCACATTTAAACATTACCCTCATTGTCATGAGATCGCAATATTAATTGCCTTACTCTGCATACCAACATGGCTTCATTTTTTGAAACAGTTAAAACAAATAATTGATCTACATTCACAAATACCTTAAATTTACATATTAACATTACATTACATATACATTACTACTCAAAATTATGAATGAAAAGTCTTTGTTATTCATTTCATTGAACAGTATATGTATTGAATAACAAAGACTTTTCATTCATAACTTTGTATTTCATTTAGTAATCAATTAAATATGTTGTTAGATAAAATTTTAAAAAAAGAGAGAGAGAAAGAGATTTTTAGTCTGATATTTTTTTCTTACAACTCTGTTAATTACTACCATGAAATAAAAAAGGTTTAGCATACAATTGACGCATAGATACTGAATTATTTATAATATTTTTGCAAAAATAAGTGTATCTTATGGACAAATACACTGACTACCAATAAGTATTTAGACACCTATGCAAATGACGATATCTGTGGTTCTAAGGTGCATCACGGACTCCGCCGGTATATATCGTGTAGAAAACAGCATCGGCTTTAGTCGCATGCAAGATGCCTCGCAGTTCGGAGCTCTCTGATTTCGAGAAAGTTATAATTATCGGGTATCACAAATGTGGCCGATCCTTAAGGGACATATCTAGCGATCTGAACTACCCAAAATCGACAGTGGCCTATCTGATTAAAAAGTGGAAGGTGAGTGGTGATTGTCGGAATGTGCCCCGAGTCGGCAGACCAACGAAACTGGGAGATAGAGACCGACGAGTGCTGTCCAGAGAAATTCGGAAGAACCGCACCAAACCGATGGCCCTCATCCGCGAGGAGTTTCAACAGGCATCCGGGAGTATTGTTTCAATGAATACCATCCGTAAGGAAGCACATCTGCTTGGTTTTCATGGTCGTGCTGCTGCCCATAAGCCTTTGATCACAAAGTCCAACCGCGCTGCTCGGTTAATGTGGTGCAAAGCACATCGAAATTGAACCATAGATCAGTGGAAACGGGTTCTTTGGAGTGACGAATCAAGGTTCAACCTTTACCGTTCGGATGGCAGGGTCTGGGTTTGGCGTCTAACTGGAGAACGTCTCCTGCCGGAATGCATTGTGCCAACAGTCAAGTTCGGCGGAGGTGGAATTACGGTCTGGGGGTGTTTCTCTTGGTATGGGCTGAGACCCTTGGTCCCCATTCATGGTAAGCTCAACTCTGATGTCTACTGCACTATTTTGGATGACAATGTGCTTCCTACGTTGTGACAGTTTTACGGGTTGGACCCCTGTTACTTTCAGGACGACAATGCCAGTTGTCATGTTTCGACGTTAACCAAGGCTTGGTATGGTGCCAATGGAGTTCATCGAATGGACTGGCCTGCCCAAAGTCCAGACCTGAACCATATCGAGAACCTCTGCGACGAGTTGCATCGCCGAATTCAGGGGTGCACTACCCGTGCAAAATCGATGAAGGAACTTCTATGTCTTCTCCAAGCCGAGTGAAAGAAAATACCACTAGCTGTCATACAAAGATTTGTGGAAAGTATGCCCCGGAGGGTCCACGCTGTAATTACCTCTCTACCAACTATTGATTTTGAATAAAGTTATTTTTTCTTTTCTATCACAGGTGTCCAAATACTTATTGGTAGTCAGTGTATTGCATGAATCTCGAATTTCCGGGAAGAAAAGCATGAACCTCGAATTCCCGGAAAAAAAAAGACTTGCATGCGAAACTTCTAACAATCTGGAATCAATAAGAAGTCCATTCGTGATAGGACGGAATAAACAAAGGTTTTCACCTCCGTGCAGCAAACTATTTTCAAATTCTTAGTAAGCTGTTATGATCATGTGGCACGTTCACATGATCACATCATCTTGACCGTACATGATACTTCCGCCGAATTGGCGTTTGCTGCGCTCTTACCCAATTGAGGGAGAGTGTGGTCCCCGAATTCGATGTAAAGAGGATGGTCTTGAAAACAAAATGTGCAACGGGATGTTGCCTTTCTTGTTAAGACTTTGCAGAACACTCATGCTATCCGAGAAAATCGAGATATTGGATAAGTTCGACTACCCAGTCCAAAGACCGCCCGTCTAAGATTCTGCTTGAAATACAGAAGTTGTGTCACTCAGCCGAAAGGACTGAGTGAATCTCTGTATTGTTATATAAGATGACAAAGGCTGTTAGTACCTTCTTGCTGATTTTGGAATAATTTCTGAAGCGTTCTAGACCTTGCTCTCTGGGTAGGCATCTATATGCCAAGGAAAATCCTGAGCTGCGGCTGCACGTTGTAAGTATGTTATGCGCCGTGGTTCTATGCAATTCTTTGGAATTATGAGGTGAACATTTACTTTGACTTATTCTTGATAATGAATGAGCCTGAACATGTTCTTTTCCGCTAGAGACTTAAAGTCAAGTGGGAGTTCTTCTGCAAGCGTCTGTAGGGCTGCTGTGGATGTGGTGGTTTCGTTATTTTCAAGAGGGCGATTCTCTGGATCTGTAGAAGTTTTTGATGAATTTTCAACTGTATTCTTCATTCAAATTTAATAATTGTATAAAATTATACGTTCTACCTCTCGAAGGTAAAGCTCTTTCAGTAGGTGTCCTTTTAGATTCCAGTCCTATTCCACGATCCTTCTTAAGTGTCTTATAATAGTACTAGTTTTGATCCAAATTTCATGCGACACCCATGTGAGTTTTTTGCCCAGCAGGAAGTCGAGATATTTAAATGCGCCCTGGTATAGGAGGAATAACTATTTGCCTTTTAATTCTTGACCGGTTGTTTATCAATTTGTTGCCTCTTGGGTAGACTTTCGTTTCGGTCTTCTCTATGATAAATTGTAGTCCACGTAAGATAAAATAACACGCCGAACAAATATTAATTTAGAAGTCAAACAACAAAAATCAGCGTTATATTGGGAAATTTTCACAGAACTAGCTTCGATTGTTTTACCGAACCATCATCCTCAGAGCTGCCAAAGCTCAAATGCCTCAAACTTCTAAATTAATTAAAATGTAGTTTACGTTTTACGCTGCAGGTTGTGTGTTCTTTCCACTGTGTGGCCGTCCTCTTGCCTCCACTTATGATTCGGATAAAATCCTCCCCGTAGAAATCTTGAATCTGGACGTAGCCTCACAATTTATGTTTAAAGCAGCGTTGATTCCATAGATTAGGACCTATTCTTGAGCCCTGTGGTTCTTCTTTGTTGTAGTTCTGCGTAATATTCACTCCATCTCTTCTATAAATTACTTTCCTATTAGTGAAATAATTTTTGATAACGCTGAAAATATTTTTGGACGTTTTAGAAGAATCGAGCGTTTGAGTAAGGCCGGGCACCTGAGGTGGTAAAATCTCGATGAGACATTAAGGGAGATCACACATGTGTATTGTCTGTTGTCCTTCTTATTCGTAATGATTTTCTGCGGGTGGTCAAACATGTCTGTTGCGCATTCCCTTTTTGAGAATCTCTACTGCTCTTTGTTTAGTAGGTTGTTCCTATACCAGTCATAGGTGAGTCCATTGTGCTAGTAATTTGTCTAATACTTTGCCTCAGACCGAAAGTAGGTACAGCGGACGGTATGCTTGGCTTCTCGCTATCATTTCCTTCCTTGTGGAAGAGGACGAATTCCGCCTCTTTTCACGTGCCCGGAAAGTACCCTTTCTTTAGGCGCGCATTGAATAACTCGTGTAAGGTGTTTTCCTATGAAGTTCATAGTTCCTCTATGAAGTCAATATGAAGTTGATCGAGCCCTGGGGCTTTTACTTTTTTGTGAACTCTATAACTTTCCTTATCTCCGTTTTTGAGAAAGGTGAGTCATACGAAGTATCCGGGGTAAAATTGGAACTCATTCTCGTGAGGTGGTGATGT